GAAATGCTGGAATCACCAAAAAGAAGGAGAGGCATTATTGTACTCACTGTAACATTCTTGGACACTCAATTGACAAACGCTACAAGATCTTTGGATATCCACTAGGCTATAAAAGAAGATCAAGAGATAATTTTCAAAACGCTTGTTATAATCACGTCAATCAAATTTCTAATTAGACTTCTGTTCCATTTAATGCCCAGAAAGATGATAAACATGATCAAGAGCATGGCCTTGGAAACTTTGTCCAGAATTTGAGTTCCAATCAGTACCAACAGCTGATGTTTGTGCTATCTACCTTGTCATCAAGTTAAAACATAAATTATGCTGATCAACAAGACAACAACATTATCTCGTATGTTGCAAGTATATGTTTCTCAATAACAGTAGATTATATTTTTTCATCTAAAGACATATGGATAGTAGACTCTAGTGCAACTAAACATGTGTGTTCAGTTGTTCCTGCTTTCATGTCGATGAGATTAATAGATAACTCCTCTGTTACTTTGCCATACCACACACGAATTCTAGTAAGGTTGTGTGGTGACAGCAAGTTGAGCTCAGATCTTATCCTGCGTCATGTTCTCTTTGTACCTCAATTCAAGTTCATGTTTGCATAATAGACTTGGCCATCTTTCCTTTAAATGTTTGAATAGTTTGAAAGACCGTTTTTTATGTGATGTTACAAAGCTGAATAAAAACATTTCATGTTATATTTGTTAACTTGCTAAACAGAGGATATTGTCTTTTGATTCACACAATCATCTGTCAAACCATCCTTTTGATATTGTGCATTGTGACATTTGGGGGCCTTATCAAGTTACATCACATACGGGATATAGATTCTTCTTAACATTAGTTTATGATTGTTCAAGATTTACATGGATATATTTGTTGAAACACAAATCTGATGCTATAGTAGTTGTTCCAAGATTTTTTAATATGATTTCTACACAATTCAATGATAAGATAAAAGAGTTTAAATCCGACAAAGCACCTGAATTAGCATGCAATGAGTTCTTTGCTGATAATGGGACATTACATCAATTCAGTTGTGTTGAAAGATCTCAACAAAATTCTGTGGTCGAACGTAAACATCAACACCATTTAAATGTAGCAAGAGCCCTATAGTTACAGTCTAGAGTTCCAATAAAATTCTGGTCTGAATGTGTGATGGCAGCCACTTTTATGATCAATCGAACTCCATTTTCTATAACACACAAGACACACCTTGTGAAGTTTTGTACAACAAGCCTGCAGATTATTCTATACTCAGAGTATTTGGATGCTTAGACTTTGCTTCTACTTTGACAACTCATCAAAATAACTTCCGACTACGTAAAAAGTTATGTGTTTTTCTGGGTTATGCATCTGGAATCATAGGTCATAAATTGTATGATGTAGTTACAAAACAAATATTCCTATCACGAGATGTTTTTCATGAAGAGATATTTCCATTTCACACAATCATTGAGCTGATCATTTTCCTGACTTGGTATGGAAGTTCCCTCATTGTCTTTCCATCAAAATGTCAACAATGAGTCTGATAAACACATTCTTAATTATATCACACTTACTCCTTCACAAGAGCCTTCACCTTCTTACTTACAAACCATTGATACATTTTCTGATCAAGCAAATATTGCTCAACCTTCAGTCATTGCTACAAGAAAATCAAAATGAGCCATTAGAGCTCCAAATTATCTCAGTGATTTTCATTGCAACATGCTTTCTCAAAATTCCTATTCTGTTAATCATTTACCTCATCACATTGGCCAGTTTGTGTCTTGTGATAAGTTGTCTCCTACTCATAGACATTTAGTATTAAATGTCTCATCTCAGTTTAAACCTCAGTATTTCCACCAAGGTGTCAAATATCCTCAGTGGCGTGAAGCTAAGAAACTTGAGCTGGATGCCATGAAACTCAATAACACTTGGTCAAGTGCTCCCTTACCTCATGGTAAACATTCAGTTGGGTGCAGATGAAATTCTCACAAGCATTAATCCACTTTGGTTTCTCCTAGTCAAAGGCGAATTATTCACTATTTATGAAAGGATATGGAGAAAAATTGTGGCATGTTGGTTTACGTTGATAACATTATCGTCACTAGTCCGAATGTTCAAGCTATTGAAGATTTGAAATTATTCTTACATTCTCAATTCAAACTCAAAGATTTGGGGAATTTGAAATGTTTTTTTGGGGATTGAAATAACTATATCAAAATCAGGTTTCATACTATCTCAAAGGCACTAAACTCTGAAGTTCGTTGAAGTTGCTGGATATCTGGACTGTAAACCTACTAATTTCCCTATGGATCTAAAGGCATATCTCAGCTTACATGATAGAGATCTTCTACCAGTTGCCTAACATTACAGACACTTAATTGGAAGGTTGATCTATCTTACTTTGTCTTGGCCTGATATCACTTATGATGTCCATAAGTTGAGTCAATTTCTTTCTCAACCTTAGCTGCCACAACTCAAAGTTGTACATCATCTTCTTCGCTACTTGAAAAGAAATCCTGGTCAAGGCTTATTCTATCCAGCAACAACTAATTCTCCAATCAAATTGCAAGCTTTTTTAAATGCAGATTGTGGATTATGTGTTGACATAAGAAAATCAACCACTGGTTTTTGCATTTTCAATGGAGAAACACTAATTTCTTGGAAAGCTAAACGCCAACCCACAATGTCACAATCCTCAGCAAAAGCAGAATATCGTGCACTTGTTGCCACCATTAGTGAGCTTTTATGGCTTAATCAGGTGTTGAGAGATTTTCAGGTCCCTGCACAATCTCCTGTCATTCTTTTCTGTGATAACCAAGCTGCAATCCAAATGGACTAAGCACGTTGAAATCGATTGTCACTTCATTTGTAACAAAATTGCAACTGGTATGGTTAAGTTCCTTCCAATTCAATAACACAATCAACTGGCTAATGCTCTTACTAAACCTCTTCCTACTTCGAGCCTTTTACCTCTGTTATCCAAGATGTCTGTAAAAAACATCTACAGTACATCTTGAGGGGGATTATTGGAGCTAGCTAGCTGTGTATCTACATTTCTGTTTCCATTTGTTTCTGTTTGATGGTGAGGAAGTTAGTTAGGTTGTTTTTAGTTAGTTAGTTACCTTTGTTAGTTATTGTCTAGTTGGCATGCCTTGTAACCGTGTATGTGTATTATTTATACATCAATTGTACTATCTTTTTGGCAAGTAATGAATGATAGTATTCATTCTCCATTTTTCCATGTTCTGGAGCTAACAAGATTGGTTGTGGTGGTGGTGAAAAGAAATAAATTCCTTGAAACCATGCCACAGATGGCAATGGAAGGGACAACCATTTACAAGAAAGCAACTCAAAACATGAGAATTCTACAAATTTGAATGATTAGAAGCTTGACCTGCTGCATTTATAGACACAGATATAGCATAAATCGAGAGGAAAGGAAGAAAAAGATGGTAAATATATAAGGGGGTGCCAAGAATGGTAAACTAAGTAAAGAATCGAAGGGTGTACAAGAGAAAGTCAAATCTAGGCCATATCATCAGGGAGCCCAGGCAACAAAGACTGGTTGTTGTAGTGATTATGATATTGGTGATTCTTTTGGCGTTTGAAGGCGCTGGTGGTAGCTGTGTGGAGAATGTCCAGTTCAACTTCTATAGAAGACATGAGATTTTGGTAAGTTTGGGGATAAGGGAAGATGGGTTCCACTTGATTAGCTGAAGGTATATGGTATATGTTCTTTAATTTAATCAACCGTTTAGGTTTCTAGTTTGGGATGGGAGAAGAAGATGAAGTGGGTTGGGGAAGAGAATAAAGTTTTAAATGTTTTGGATTGTGAATGACGCATATAAAAAATTTGAATATAATTTGCATAAAATTAAAAAGTTCAAGATAGCTACTACAATTATTTCTTTTTAATTTTGATTTTCACTTTTTTTTTAATGGTAAAACTAATGAAATTGGATAGTAGGGGATGGATCGAAATTGGATGGTTGGGGGTGGATCACACTCCAAAGTTCATAAAGGGTGATTTTTCACACCTCAAATGTTGTATTCAACACTAAAGGTTTCAAACTTTGACATTTTATGCTATTTTCAAAAGGTAAGAGATTTTCCACGGCATGCTCAATGGGTAGGGGATTTGGTGTTGTTTAACCTATTCTAAAAGTATTGATAGATCCTTTAAAAAGTCTTTAAAAGTATAGGTATATTCAATTAAAGCATTTTAAAAGTCTCTATAGGTTATAAAGTATTCAAAGAGTCAATAATTTTTAAACATTTATAAAAGTCTATAGAGCACTAATTTTTAAGCAAAAAGTATAAAAATAAAATTTTAAAACTTGTTTCTCATTTACCCCAAATTCTAGGAGACTTCCCCAACAGAATTTTTTAAATTTGTATTATTTATCATTTCAATATTTCTTTTTCATCTTTCCTTCTATGAACCTATTAGCAATTATTATGATATATTATTTTTCTTCTTT